GGTCTGGTTTTTAAGGTATAAAGTAAACTAAAAACTATACAAAAAGATTGGTTTTCTAATTATTTAAATAAATAGTCTGGTATTCGAGTTTTTACGTATTTTGCGTGTTTTGTGTGCTAAAACCAAAATGAATTGATTACGTAATTGAATTATTTCAACCCAAAATAGACCTATCCTAATCTGACCAAGCAAAATCGATTAGATACACAATTTTAAGGCTTCAAGGCCTCACTAAGAAGGTTATATCTCCTGAACTAGCAATACTCTCTCTCAGATCATAAATGAAATGAAACTTGCTTTTTAATTTGTCAAGTTTAATTTATATATTTGATATGTATGAAATTATACTAAAAACTTGCACAATTTTAGTATAAATTACTTACCCTAAGCATGTATTTGAAAACAAAGAGTAGATATCATTTCTCTTGAAAAAATATTGCTTTTAATTTATTTAGAAATCTTCCATAGTTGCATTCATCTTTGCCATTATAGGCGTGGATGTGAGAGAGAGTATTAGCCTTCAATTTTTATTTTATTTTTACTTTTTTAATTTGTTGATGTTTAATTACTAAATACATATGACATGGACAATCAAGTATTACGGGGAAAAATACACCTTATTTTGGGTATCAAGTTTAAAACTACTTTATTTTGAAAATTAAATTTTAAAAATGCCCTTTTTTTTAAAAAAAAAAAAAACATTTGGAAGATGGCAATTCTGCATTTCCTAGCAAATTCTTCCAGCAGGCTTGAGCAAACTCGCATTATCACATGTGATAAATTTAGTGGGAGAGTTCGTTAGCCAAGAATAGCAATTAATCCATCATAGAAAAGGGACAGAACAAAAAATGTTGCTTCGTTTTACATCTCCAATAATCAACTTCTAGTCCTGCTGCTCTAAACACTAATTTAACTGGTTTGAGTTTGGATCAGACCCCTTCTATCAATGAAGCATGCACTGCTCAGTGGTCAGAAATCTAGATAGAGTCTTCCTTTGCACATCACGAGGTCCAGAATACCAATTTTCCATGCAAAAAACCAATCCATTTTCAAGCTGGAAATCGAAATTTCCAGATAATCATAATGAACGACAAACAGAAATCTCATAGAAATCCATTTCATTGCCAACATACATACGAGTATTTATGTAGATAATTACAGGAAAGATAAATATGCTTGACATACTCTGGCATCATTCTTGTAAAGTATAATTTGCATCCTAAACTTCAAGCAAAACACAATACAATCACATTTTGCTATTATGCTTGCCAAACAAAGAATGTCGACCTTCAGCAATTAACTCCCCTGTTGCTTTGTTTTTCACAAGAACAATTGTACCTGCATAGCCTCCGTTTCGTCCTAAAATCCTCGCAGTAATCTCCAATTCATCCTGCAAATTTTTCCATCAAAAGATCAAAACAATGCACAATAAATTAACACGACAACCATATCAACACAATAAGTTATAAACCTAAAATCCATGCCATCATTCGTTATGAACAAAGAAATATCATCGTTTATGGGACATAAACTTGCATATAAATGCCGGTAACACAAAAATTAACATGACGTATAACAAGTACTGATTTTTTCTTTATGTCAAAGGCAAAATGAGATTTTTTTTCTTTTGTACCATGAAAGGAAAGGATTGCATTACATTAACGTTTGCAGTGGACAGAAACGAGATGGACATATCCACGGAGACAAGAATAGGGAGACTCTCAGATTGGGCAACTAGAGCACCTCCTTCATCAACAAGGTTTGCAATTGCCCCAGTTGCTAGCTTTCCATTTCTATCCTGCCACGAAAAATCAAATAAATCCCAAATTATATGGCGGATTAGTAATTCGATTCAATTTGGCTTGAAAGACGATATACAATTATCCATGAACTTAAAAATCCACAATTTACAAGACCTCTAACGATCAAATTAAACGGAGAGAGAGAGGGAGAGTTTTGTATATTGTCTTACAGTGAGGCGAGGAGGGACCTTGAAAGTGCTAGAGATGAACCCGGGTTCAATCCGGTCAACTTGGATTCCTCTAATAGAAAAGTCTTCATAGAAACTGCGTTCAATCCATTGTCGGTGAGGGTGAAACTTGATCCGGGACACGCTCTCTGATTCTTCTTTGTTCAGTGTCAAAAACTCCCTTGCCTTCTCCATCTAGGATTCTGGTCTAAATCTTTCAACTCTCTCTCTGTAGCTGCTCTGGTTCTGGTCAATCATCACTTCCTATCCCATGGACCTTTTTAACCTGAGGAGTTATTAGGCGCGGCGTCGTTCTCGCGGTTAAACACGAAGTTCATCTTATTAAAAAAAAATTAATTATAATAGACACTGTTTGAAGCTAATTCTATACTTGAATTGATTTGATTTGCTAAAAGATTTTTTTTTTTCAATAGCTTCTAAAATTATGAAATTCATTTCAATTGAGTTGGTGAAAATACTTAATTAGTTTGGAATTTGGATAACCTATAAGAAGTAGGAAGGAATTATACTTAATTCTATTAAACACGGGCCCAAGTTTTGAAGTCCACCCAAAATCTGAGAAGATAAACAAGGGCCGAACAGGTAGGCCTGAATATTAAAAAATAATAATAATAATAAATAAAGTAGAACTACTGTTTAATATATTGATTGATACTATTTAAAAGATTGTTAATTCATATTTATCTATACTATTCATTAAAACTCATTTGCATTATTTCTTTTACTATACAGTGATATTTGTAAACTTTTCAAACTTTTTATAAGTATTTATTATGAAAGTTTTTATAACATTACACTTTAATCTCTTTTTTTAAAATATTGATTTTTTGGTATGTAATTTCATTGTTTTATTTTAGTCACTTTAGTCTTTATTTTTTATCTGATTTTTTTAATTAAAAAATTTATGGTAAAAAAAGTTTAGAAATAAATAATTTACAAAATAAGTTTTTAGCTAAGAATCCATTGATTTTGACATTTTTTCTAACATTATTATAATTTTTTAAGTTAAGAATGTGGATAAAAATAAATAAATAAATAATTTTTTTGATCAAAAATTTATGAAAAATCTAAAGAATAAATAACAAAATATAAAACTTTGATTAAAAAATTAGAAAACTTAATAATTTTTTTTATCCAGTTTTGATTTAATATATTATAATAGATACATAATATAAAATAAAGCATCAAACTAATATAATTTTTACAAACAATTTAATATATCTTATCCGATCAATAATAAAATAAAAAAAATCAATATACTACGACAATGAGAGAGCAGTCCAGATAAATTTGTCTATTGTTATCATGTCTAGCTTCGATTTTAATTTTTAAAGGAGAAATTAAAGAATCTAGGTTTAACACTTCTCCCAAGATGGGCCTCCTAATTTAAAACATGGTTTTTGGTGTCTGGGGAGGAACCACGTCCACGAGTGGGTAAATTTCTATGCCAATTGTAGCGTCCATAGAGGAGTTGACCAGTTAGTGTTTTGGACATACTTAATAAGAAATGCTATCTTTTTAGGTTTGCCATAAAACCATACATGCGTGGGTGATTCAGTCAGATAAATAAAAATCAGAAAACAAAGAATCCTCAACTAAAGCATAAATAAAGCTTTCCACGAGGTTTTCCGCTTGTCGCTGTTGCATTTTACTTCTGCACCAAGCGATACTCATTCACTTTAACTACTCTACTCTACAAGCGTAAAAACAGTAAAGGTCAAAAAACAAAATAAAGGGCGAGCCTTCTATGACTTTTTCTCGGTCGTTCTGTCAGTCGTGCAATGAAATCCAAGGTTCCAAGCATCATGTCCTGTTCTTCTTTCCTTTTTCTTTTTCGTGCCCAAAAAAACTGTTCATGTAATGCTTGCGCTATGAGTGAATTTGTTTTGTCCATCATCCAAGAGTTTTCTCAAGTTGATTTGTTGAGATTTGTCACAATTAACATTTAGGAGTCAAAAAATTTATAATACTTAATGAATAATTAAAGTAATAAAAAGTATTTTCATTTAATCTTAATTTTTTCCTTTTATCCTTTGCTTATGGAATAAATATACAATAATTACTCTCATTACAATTGATGACATCTTGAACAATCTACAGAGGTTGTAACTTGTGAGTAAATTGGGTTTGAATCTTATGCGAAAGAAATAAAATGCTCATGAATTATTTCAGTCAAGGTATGAAAAGTTTGTATTTATCGGATTGGAAATGTTTTAACTTTGATGTTAAAAAAAACTCTTCAGAATATATTCTTATAATGCAGTGAGTTCTTTTACGATAAAAGAAAGAATAACTTGTACGCAAATTTTTGTTGTTGATTTACAGAAAAAAAAATAATAATAAAAAATAGAGTTGTTGCTCAGGATTTTATTTTTTAATAAAATGTCAAACTTAGAAATAAAATTTAATCTAACCTCTAGGATTACATAAAATAAATAAATAAATAAAATTTAATAAGTGTATTCTCTCTTTAATCATTAGGGTTTAAATTTCATACGATAAATAAAATTTTCATAAATCTTTCGGCTATGGTATATATATTTTTCTGGTTGGAAAGATGAATTTAATCTATCATATGAAAATTGTCATGGAGATTCCATCCTCTTCAGAAAGAAAAAGGATTTTTTATTAGTATATTAAAATTAACCCCATAATTAAAACAAAGAAAATTAAAATTGCTCATTCTTGGTGTCTTTAAATCAGGACCATTGGCTAGCATCCATTGCAAATCTATTTATGCCAACTTTACCAACTGTAAATCTAAATCCCACTAGTGAATAAGAGTAGAAAAAGACAGAAAACAGAGAGAAAAAACAGAAAAGTTTCGATTGATTGAAAATCCCAAATCGAGGAAGGGTTTATCCAGGGTTCTCTCTTTCATTTCCACTTTATCAGCCACTCACTGCCAACTCCTCACTCCCCCACGCTTTTGCTTATTCTATCCCTTCTCTCCCTTTCTCTCTCTCTCTCTCTCAAATATGAGCTTAGCTTCCACTCCACACCACCAGCCATGACTCAACCACAGCAACCTCAGCTCCAAAAGCACCGCAAGTCGTCCTGCCACCGCCACCCTTCCAAACCTATCACAGGATTCTGTGCCTCCTGTCTCCGAGAACGCCTCGCCGGCATCGACCCCGACACCCACCAAGAAACCCCCGTGACGCATCTCGCCGCCGAGCTCCGTCGCAGCAAATCATACTCCAGCTCCTCCACAAACAGCAACCCCAACAATAACAATGCTTCATCCACCTCTACCTCCTCCACTACTGCCACCACCTCTGAGCCCCGCCGCAAATCATGCGACGTTAGACCGTCTCGCAACACTCTGTCTGACCTCTTCCACGTCGATGATAAAAGAAGAGACTTCTTGATTCAAAAGCCAAAGGGTTTGGATTTAGGCTTTGAATTAAAAGAAGAAGAAATTTTAGGAGAGATTAGGGTTTCTGCGCAGAATGCGAATAATAGTGAAAGGAATGCGGAGGATTTTGAAGAGGATGGGGAGTTAAAAACAATGAAGGAGTTTATAGATCTTGAGTGGGAGAGAAAGAAAAATGGAGGGAGAGATCTTAAGGACATCGCAGGGAGTTTTTGGGAGGTAGCTTCAGTGTTTAGTAAAAAACTAGGGAAATGGCAGCGAAAACAAAAGAAGAAGGAGAAGAGAGATGGGGAAAATCTTGGAAGTTTGGTGAGAAATAAGAAGTTGAGTGTTAGGAAATTGAGAGAGACGCAATCGGAGATTGGAGAGTATGGATTTGGGAGGAGATCTTGTGATACTGATCCAAGATTATCTGTAGATGTGTCGCGGTTGTCTGTTGATGATTCTCGCTATTCGTTTGATGAGCCTAGGGCTTCTTGGGATGGATGTTTAATTGGTAAAACTTATCCGAGGCTAACTCCGTTGGTTTCTGTTATGGAAGATGTCAAGTTGCCTAGTGGTGGGGTTGAGAATGTAAAGGAGATTGTGAATTTGAAGAATGAAGGGGAGAGTAGTCCTGGAGGTACGATGCAAACTAGGAATTATTATTCTGATAAGAGGAGGAAGAGTTTTGATCGTTCGGGATCTAATAGGAGAGTAGGGCTAGGGGATGAAGAGTTTAAATCAATGTCGAATGCCAAGGTATCTCCTGAAACAGTTGGTTTATTCCATGGGGCAAAGTTGTTGGTCACAGAGAAAGAATTGAGGGATTCAAATTGGTACTCGCTTAAAGATTACGGCGATGAGAATGTGGATGCTGTTTCCAAACATGCTAGTTCGATTACTGGTGGCGGGGCTAGCAAAAAGGGTTTCAAATTCAAGAAGCCGCATAAGTGGTTTGGTGTGTCGAATATTTGGGGTTTGATGCAGAGGAGTAGTCAGAGCAAATGTGGAGATGATAGGAGTAGTATTGGTGGAAATGTGGTTGATGGGCCAATACCAGAGTCTTGGCAGAATTTGAGTGGCGTGGCTGATGGAGAAGCAAACGGGATGGTGAGCCCGAGGCTTATACGGAGCTATACTGTGAGTGGAAGGGATTCCTGCAAGATGGCTTGCAGTACAAGTGGTGCTGAGAGCAAAGAGACTGGGATGAAGAGAAGGGAAGAGCTTTTGCTGCAGCGGAATCGGAGTGCCAGGTATTCTCCAAACAACGTTGATAATGGCTTGCTACGGTTTTATCTGGCACCATTAAGGAGTTACGGAAGAAGCAAATCTGGAAAGAGTAGGCTAAAGAATTCAAACTCCTTGTCAAGGAATGTTTTGTAAAGGTGCATCAATTGTTCTTCTTAGAAATGTGCTGTTGTAAAGACATGAGTTAATGTGTTTCTCCCTGTTCAATAGATAAAAGCACATCATATTTGTTACCTGTTCTCCGCTGAAAATGTGTTTCTAATAATGCAGCAATGATAATCAGAAAATTTTTATTTCCACTTGGTTTATGCCCAAGAAATGATGCTTGCTAATTCTTTTTTGTGATAAGTTCATGTAATACAGTTACTTGTGATGAAGTTTTAGGAAAAGTATTTTGCTTCAAGAAAGATTGCAGGTGACTTTTGGATGAAATGAAGCATTATTGCTGACAGGGATGCTAGCAAATTAACATGTTTGGCACAAGTCGTGGGTAAACTTGATCCTTAACCACCTTCACTAGTTGAACTATAATAAGAGAGAAGAATTCAGTTTTACATTAGATCTTGCAGCTCCTAGTTGTTACTTGAGATTTGGTAAATTCAGAGAGATAACCAGGGGTTGTCTGCGTCGATGATTCTATGGCCTTTTTTTCGCCAGATTATACCTCTAAAGTGAAATCCTCGTCAAACCTCTCCCTGGTGATGGATTGTGAATTTATAAGTCTCTTCCCCATTCAAGTGCAATACATTTGATTCCTGGTACTTAGATGCCTTGCTCTTGATCTCGCGGGATTGTGCTTCACGTGTATAGCTGCGTGCTGCCTGTAATAGATCTTGCTCTGTTGCTTCTTGGTTTATGGGAAGATGCTTGGGCATTAAATGGATGCAAAATTATCTTTGTTCCAGCAAATGCTGCCAAATCACATACAGCTTTATTATACCCTAGTGCACTCAAAAAAAACGAGCAGGACTTCAACTTGTTGACTATGGCGATCTCTCAATATTCTAGAACTGTTGTTGCACGCCCTTTAGACATTGTCCACTCTGCTGGACCGGTACTTGAAGTCGACAATTTCCTTGTTGATAATGGTATCAGATGACTGGAGCAGTTGCTTCTTACAGGTAGTAACTTCAATCCTTTACTTGAAGGTTATAAGATCAGATGTGTTGATTAGGTTAAATCTCCTTATCTTTGTCTCTACCTACCTTGTATCATAGCAGCGTTAAACTTCTGCTGTTTATCTTTTGTGGGGACTGCATATCCAGCCCAGGCTCCTTGTTACAGGCTTCCAATAATTGCTTCTCTGATAAATTATCATGTTCATTGGACAGACTTGATTGGTGGGATCCTGTTGGAGTCTCTCATAGGATTCCCCAATTTCTGCTGAGAAATGCTTTGGGCCCAGATGGCTCTAATGCTGTTGTATCAAATGCCTGCGTCCCAGCAAGTGCCCCTCACAGTACCTACTGTTTCCCTCCGCTATTCATCCAAATAATTCAATCCATCCACCGCCATCATTACCTTGATAGTGATTAAGCAATTTCTTGCACAAGTTGTCCCCCATCTCCATCCTTGAAAAGGCTAAAAGTTGTACTGAACCATAGTTGATAAATAGCAAAAGTTAATATTTGAATTTGAAACAACCTTGGACAGATATGTTGAGGTGTCCCCTTGATCTTGTGATAATCTCGTACAAAGAACTTTATTTTTCAAGGGTGACAAAGATACGAGTGACTTTTACAATGTCGGCATCCGAAAACATTTATAAATATAAATATTATGAATATTTATAGTACTACTAAATCAAAGACGTGGTTGATTGCAGACGAGTGGGAGATTGTGAAGGTGAAAATTAACCACTATTAATAAGGCAGGAATTTTCCGATTGTTGAAAGTTGATGCGATAAACTTTCCAGTTTCCTGTTTAGACTTGTTCACACAATTGCGCTAATCCATGAACATTATCGGTATAGACTATAGACACGCTGTAATACCCATAAGCTCATGTAAGTAAATAAGAGAGGGTTTTTAAATGAGGGGTATTAGGGTAATTTAAAAGCAAAGAAAATAAAGAAATAAAGGAAAGATTGGCAGAAACTAGAAAAGAAACAAAAGAAAAATGGGAAAGGGGGAGGAGAGAAAGAAAAAGAAGAAAGGAAAGAGAGGAGAAGGAAGGAGAGGAAGAAGAAGACTCGCCGGTGACCACCCACTCCAGCGACAGCTCCGGCGACGGCGGTGGTGGAGTGACTCGGTTAAGGAGAAGAAAAATGAGGGTAAAAAGAGGTGAAATAAGGAAGAAGGAAAAGATTTATTAAGTGAGTTTTGGATTTTTTTTTTTTGAATGTTTTAGTTAATTATAACCTTAATTAGGATGGGTTATAGGTAATTTAGTAAATTTTATTTTTGAATTAAGAATTTGAATTAGGGATTAGGTTTAATTAAAATTAGGGTTTATGTTAGTTTAGGAAATTTGGGGAAAGTGAGTGAATGGGTTAATTAGGGTCCAATTAAGCTTGAATTTCAATTTATTAGTGTCTAATTATTGTTATTATTGATGAATGCAAATTTATGATGATAGAGGTAAGAGAAGATTTGGTGGAAGAAGCTCGCTTGAGGAAGAGGCAATTATAATTTGGGGGTGTTCCTTTAGATTAGAGGTAAGTATAACACCTATTATGAGTCTTTACTATCATATATGTCTATATTGCTTGTGAGGTGAAAATTTGATTATTTGGATAAATGCTTAATTATTAATAAATAATAATAATAATAATAATAATAATAATAATAATTGCATGTGAATTAAATTTTTTTAGTATAGATGAATTGAATTGGTATGTTGCCCTATGAATTATGGCTATTAAAGGAATATTGATACATTGAATGGTATATGTGCATGTTGATATGATGATCACTTGCATTAAATGGAATTGTGTGATTGCTTATGTGCTTGAATGATAATAATGAGATTGATGACTTGAAAGAAGTCTATGCGGGACTAACTAAGCTAACGGGGTTATAGTTAGCCTAGGTGCACCCAGTATTTACTGGCTAGGGAATGGCCGCGATGCTTCCCTCGAGTTTACCCTGCGGGGGCTAGAGTTTACCGTTACCCTTGCGAGGGCCATAGTTACCCTTTTGAGGGCCAAAGGAATAGACGAGTTCTGCATAGAGTGATTTCAAGAAATTGTTATGCTATTATTAATTGTTAAGAAAGAAAGAAAAAGAAAAAGTTATTGATTGCTTGCTTGGTTGCAAATCATGTATGATATGTGCATTGGCATAATTGTATGTATAGCGATTTATAATATGTGTTATGCTTACCGAGTTTTGAAAACTCACCCCAACCTCAAATATTTTGTAGATAATACGAAGCTACATCATAGAAGGAGGGCGATAGATTTTTTGGATTTGAAGGTACTACCTGGATATTATTTTGCTTTCTCCGGGTATAGGACATGGTTGTTTTAAATTTGTATTCATTGTCCATTTTGGAATTGTAATTAGTCATTATGTATTTTATTTCACTTAGTTGCTCCATTGGTAGCATCACCAAATCCGAGAGATAGCTAGTTAAGGGTCTCCATATTTTGTATCCGGATGGTTAAATGGTGATTTATAAATTTGGTTATGTTCAATATTGAATTATGTGTATTTTTGTCAATTTAGTAAATATTGAGATTTATGAGGAAGTGTGGATGTCCAATGGAGGGACTTGAGGATGATTGAGAATTGGTGAAGATGATTTAGAAGTGTACATCTATTGTGATTTTTATGCGGGATATATTATTTTTGGGATCGTCTAATTATAGGGGAAATGTCGTCGAAATTTACGTAGAAAATAGAGAAAGGATTAAGGCTTACGTAGCTTATGGTGGGTCACCCCACCTCGAGCTACGTGCCGATCGCGACTCGCCGGTTCGGGTCGTGACAAAGTTGGTATCGGAGCAATGGTTTAGGCTTGGTAGATATGTTTTAAGGTTGAACTAGTAAGTAAATTATAGGATAATCCTTTGGTTTTACACCGCGGAGCTATAGGTAGTTATAGGTTTCCAAATTGTCTTTGAGTTATTCATTGCATCTTAGTTTTCGCGTTACGCTTTTTATTATATCGAGTTAAGTATACTTGTGTATTTGTTATAAAAATGATATTGATTAGAACTCTTTTGTTACTAGATGGCGAGGACTAGAGGCGGTAAAGGTAGCGAGGGTAGAAGGACCCACAATGTAGGTCGTGGTAGGGCTGCCATAGCCCCACATACAACACTCGGCCTAGCTATCCCACATGTTACATGGGGTAGCAAGCGTAGTAGAAGAGATTTTATGACGGACGAGAGAGAGGCAGAGGAGGAAAGAGTGGCCGGGTCGCGGCCACTATAGGGGCACGGGATGTTGCCCAAAACTTGAACTTATTAACATAGATTGTTGCACGGCATGAGAGGCTACATGCACAAGCCGGGATGGCACCATCCTCTTCACATGCTAATGAGGATAGAGTGCCATTATCCGAGTTCTTGAAACTTAAGCCGCCGGGGTTTGAAGGAAAACTCGATGAGGATCCTCATTTGTTTATGGAGGAGACGGATGCAAGGTGTAAGATATTGGGTTGTGATTCTTGAAAGGCGGTGCGGATAGTAGAGTTTTGTTTGATCGGGACGACCAAACGCTAGTTTAAGACCGAGGGATTTTCCAATTGGATTTGGGAGGATTTCGGTAAGGCTTTCGTGGATAGATTTCGCGGAGAGTGTTAGGCGACGGCGGGCATTTGAGTTTGAGAGATTGAGACAAGATGTTTCCATGACCGTTACTCGAATATGATGCATAATTTATGGAGTTGAGCCGGTATACTCTTTACCTAGTCGGCACGAAGGAGCTAAAGATGTCTCGATTTATAAGTGGTTTAGTGCCACGACTTTGTGCACTTTTGATTCGTTGCAAGGGTGAACACCTATGTAGAGGTCGTGGAGTGTGCCCGATTAATAGAGTTATCTAGGGTGGATCGCCCGGAAGAGCGGAGTCCTCGACCTAAAAGGAGTAGAGGTGAGGGGCGGTCCAGTGGCCATCGGGGTCGAGGTAGTAGACTTGGTGGATTTAGCGGGGGTTTAGGCCATCGGGGTCAAATGGGCCAACGGGGCTTACGGAGGGATACCACCGGAGGCTTGGAACGTCTATGGGTAAGAGTCGGGGATCTATGAGCTACGGTCGACGGGGCTTAACTCGGGCGAGCCGGAATACTCGCATTCCTCCTCGGTCCGGGCAAAATGCTCGCACTCCTTCTCATTGTCCAACTTATAACGGGATGCATTAGGGCCGGTGTAGAGTTGGACGAGCTGGATGTTATCGTTGTGGGCAAGAGGGCCATTTTGCTAGAGAATGTTCGTCCTTTTTATCACGGGGACGTGCACCTACTTCATCCGATCGGAGTTATGATGTCGATCGGACCGATGGGGTCAGTGGACGAGGTTTAACGGGTAGAGGTTACGGTGGTAGAGGACCGATGTAATTTGGTAGAGGTCGGTCTCGGACGGTAGAGGTCAATTGCGGACCGGTAGAGGTCGAGTGTAGGGGCAAGAGATCGGGGTTTTGCGGGCGTGGACAAACTAGGGTGTATACCTTGACTAGACAAGATGCGCGAGGCTTAATGCGGTGGTGTCGGGTATACTTCCTATTGATTCTTTTGATGCACGGGTATTATTTGACACCGGGGCTACTCACTCATTTATATCCCCATTCTTAGCCAAGAGGTTGGGTAAACGATCGGAGAGATTAGATGAGTCCTTAGTAGTGTCCACTCCGGCGGGAGAGGGTGTAGAGGCAAATTTGGTATATCGGTCTTGCAAGGTTAAGGTAGGAGATAGAGATCTTCCGAGTGGATCTTTTATTGTTTAAGTTGGTGGATTTTGATGTAATATTGGGAATGGACTGGTTGTCTCAATATCATGCATCTTTTGACTCGTAATAGGAAGATAGTGAACTTTAACATGCCGGATGAGTCGGACTTCCGGTTTCGGGGAGACGAAGTTTAGCTCCATATAACCTTGTGTCAATACTTAGTGCTAGGTGTATGTTGCACAAGGGATGTTGTGGTTACTTAGCTTTTGTGAAAGATGTAAGGTCTTTGGAGCCAAAGATAGAAGATGTGCTAGTTGTGAATGAATTTTCAGATGTGTTTCCAAAGGAATTGCCGGGGTTACCTTTGGAGAGGGAGATAGAGTTCCGCATAGATGTTGTGCACGGAACCGAGCCAATATCAATGCCACCTTATAGGATGGCACCGAGCTGAGCTTAAAGAGCTCAAGGAGCAATTACAAGATTTGCTTGACAAAGGGTTCATTAGGCCTAGCGTGTCACCTTGGGGTGCACCAGTCGTTGTTTGTAAGGAAGAAGGATGGGTCTTTACGCCTATGTATTGACTATAGGCGGTTGAATAAGGTCACAATTCGCAACAAGTATCCGTTGCCTAGAATTGATGATCCGTTTGACCGATTGCAAGGGTCTCAATTCTTTTTCAAAATAGACTTGAGATCAAGATATCATCAATTGCGTATAAGGAAGGAGGATATCCTAAAAACAACATTTAGAAGTAGATATGGGCACTATGAATTCCTTGTGATGTCTTTTAGACTCACTAACGCTCTCGCGACATTTATGGATCTTATGAATCGAGTATTCGGGTCATTCCTTGACGACTTTGGGATATTGTTCATAGATGATATTTTGGTTTATTCCAAGAGTAAGGAAGAGCATGAGCAACACCTACGAATGGTACTTCGGACCTCGAGGGAGCATCGGTTGTATGCCAAATTCTCAAAATGTGAATTTTGGCTAGATAGTGTTGGTTTTCTAGGTCATGTAGTGTCGAAGGATGGGATAGAAGTTGACCCGAAGAAAGTTGAGGTTGTTACTCATCGGCCGAGGCCAACCTCTCGCTACGAGATTCGTAGTTTTCTCGGTTTAGCTGGATATTATAGGTGTTTTGTGGAGAACTTCTCACGGATAGGCGCTCCGTTGACAAAGTTGACTCAAAAGAAAGCAAAGTTTGAGTGGACGGATGCATGTGAGCGAGCTTTCAATAGCTCGAGACTCGTTTAACTACGGCTCCGGTGTTAGCACTACCATCGGGTTTCGGTGGGTATGTGGTTTATTGTGATGCATCAAGAATTGGATTAGGGTGTGTGCTAATGCAACATGGGAGAGTTATTGCCTATGCTTCTCGTCAATTAAAGAAGCATGAGCGGAATTACCATACTCGTGATTTGGAGATGGCGACGATTGTCTTCGCTTTGAAGATATAGCGACATTATTTATATGGAGAGACTTGTGAGATTTACACGGATCACAAGAGTTTAAAGTATATTTTCGAGCGAGAGGGACTTGAATTTGAGGCAAAGACGGTGGATGAAGTTGCTAAAAGACTATGATTGTTCTATATTGTATCATCCAGGAAAAGCAAATGTGGTAGCGGATGCATTGAGTAGAAAGTCAATTGGGAGTTTAGCCCATATAGCGATTGAGAGGAGGCCATTGATCCAAGAATTATATGAGTTACATGATCAAGGGATTCAATTGGAGATTAATGATAGTGGAATGTTGTTAGCTCACATGAATATACGACCAATGCTCCTAGATCGGATCAAAGCAAATCAAGCTAAGGATGAGCAATTAGAAAAGATTAGAGATAGAGTGGTTAAGGGTGACGAGGAAGGAGTTTAGGGTGGATAGTGATGGTGTACTCCGACTTGGTGTTAGGCTATGTGTTCTCGATGTGGAGGATTTGAGGAGAGAGATTATGGAAGAATCACATCGATCCGTATACACGGTACATCCCGGTTCAACTAAGATGTATAAAGATTTGAAAGGAGTGTACTTGGTGGAGTGGAATGAAGAGAGACATTGCAGATTTTGTGTCTAAATGTCTAGTGTGCCAACAAGTGAAGTTTGAGCACCAAAAGCCTTCGGGATTACTTCGGGAGTTGCCTTTACCGGAATGGAAGTGGGAAAGGGTAACAATGGATTTTGTGATAGGGTTGCCTCGTCATCGCTAAGGGTTATGACTCAATATGGGTGATTGTGGATAGGTTGACGAAGTCGACTCACTTTATTCCGGTGAAGACTACTTACATAGTAGCTCGGTATGCTCGGCTATATATTGATAAGATAGTGAGCCTTCATGGAGTACCTGTATCTATAGTGTCGGATAGGGGCACATAATTTACATCTCGGTTTTGGAGGAAACTCCAAGAGGCATTGGGTACTCGACTCGACTTTAGTACTCGCTTTTCATCCGTAGACGGATGGTCGGTCGGAGCGTACAATCCGGACACTTAGGAGACATGTTGAGAGCATGTGTTATGGATTTCGGGGGTAATTGGGAGCATCATTTGCCTTTGATTGAGTTTGCCTATAATAATAGTTATCGATCTAGCATTGAAATGGCTCCATATGAGGCTTTATACGGTAGAAGATGTAGGTCTCACGTCCGTTGGGAAGAAGTAGGGGATAGAAAGGCTGTTGGGTCCGGAAATGGTACAGTTGACTACGGAGAAGGTAGCATTAATTAGGGAGCGTCTTAGGACGGCTCACGGTAGGCAAAAGAGTTATGCGGATTCAAAGAGAAAACATCCGGAATTCGATGTTAGTGATCATGTATTTCTTAAGGTGTCACCAATGAGGGGGATCATGCGGTTTGGAAAGAAAGGGAAGTTGTCTCCTAGATACATTGGACCATTTGAAATATTGGAGAGAGTGGGAGCGAGTGGCTTATAGATTGGCTCTTCCACCGGACTTTTCGGGAGTCCACCCGGTATTTCATGTATCTATGTTGAGAAAGTATGTGGCGGATCCTTCACATGTAATTGAACCGCAAACTATTGAGCTAAGTGAGGATTTGAGTTATGTGGAGCAACCAATTGCAATCGTGGATCGTCGGGTTAGAAAACTTAGGTCTAAAGAGATCATTTTAGTTAAGGTTCAATGGAGAAATCATTCGTTAAGGAGGGCACGTGGGAATCGAAGTCGAAATACGAGACAAGTATCCACATCTATTTCGGATTCAAGGTATGTAGTCATTTTTTTAAATTCGAGGACGAATTTTTTTTATAAGAGGAGAGAATGTAATACCCATAAGCCCATGTTAGTAAATAAGAGAGGGTTTTTAAATGAGGGGTATTAGGGTAATTTAAAGGCAAAGAAAATAAAGAAATAAAGGAAAGATTGGCGGAAATCGAGAAAAGAAACAAAAGAAAAACGAGAAAGGGGAGGAGAGAAAGAAAAAGAAGAAAGGAAAGAGAGGAGAAGGAAGGAGAGGAAGAAGAAGACTCGCCGGTGACCACCCACTCGGCGACGGCTCCGACGACGGCGAGTGGTGGAGTGACTCGGGTAAGGAGAAGAAAAATGAGGGTAAAAAGAGGTGAAATAAGGAAGAAGGAAAAAGATTTATTAAGTGAGTTTTGGATTTTTTTTTGAATGTTTTAGTTAATTATAACCTTAATTAGGATGGGTTATAGGTAATTTAGTAAATTTTATTTTTGAATTAAGAATTTGAATTAGGGATTAGGTTTAATTAAAATTAGGGTTTATGTTAGTTTAGGAAATTTGGGGAAAGTGAGTGAATGGGTTAATTAGGGTCCAATTAAGCTTGAATTTCAATTTATTAGTGTCTAATTATTGTTATTATTGATGAATGCAAATTTATGATGATAAAGGTAAGAGAAGATTTGGTGGAAGAAGGCTGCTAAGGAAGAGGCAATTATAATTTGGGGGTGTTCCTTTAGATTAGAGGTAAGTATAACACCTATTATGAGTCTTTACTATCATATATGTCTATATTGCTTGTGAGGTGAAAATTTGATTATTTGGATAAATGCTTAATTATTAAAAATAATAATAATAATAATAATAATAATAATAATTGCATGTGAATTGAATTTTTTAGTATAGATGAATTGAATTGGTATGTTGCCATATGAATTATGGCTATTAAAGGAATATTGATACATTAAATGGTATATGTGCGTGTTGATATGATGATCACTTGCATTAAATGGAATTGTGTGATTGCTTATGTCTTGAATGATAATAATGAGATTGATGACTTGAAAGAAGTCTATGCGGGACTAACTAAGCTAACGGGGTTATAGTTAGCCTAGGTGCACCTAGTATTTGCCGACTAGGGAATGGCAGTAGTGCTTCCTTCGAGTTTACCCTGCGGGGGCTAGAGTTCATTGTTACCCTTGCGAGGGCCATAGTTACCCTTTTGAGGGCCAAAGGAATAGACGGTTCCGCATAGAGTGATTTCAAGAAATTGTTATGCTATTATTAATTGTTAAGAAAGAAAGAAAAAGAAAAAGTTATTGATTGCTTGCTTGGTTGCAAATCATGTATGATATGTGCATTGGCATAATTGTATGTATAACGATTTATAATATGTGTTATGCTTATCGAGTTTTGAAAACTCACCCCCGACCTCAAATATTTTGTAGATAATACGGAAGCTACATCATAGAAGGAGGGCGATAGATTTTTTGGATTTGAAGGTACTACCCGGATATTATTTTGCTTCCTCCGGGTATAGGACATGGTTGTTTTAAATTTGTATTCATTGTCCATTTTGGAATTGTAATTAGTCATTATGTATTTTATTTCACTTAGTTGCTCCATCTGGTAGCATCACCAAATCCGGGAATAGCTAGTTAAGGGTCTCCATATTTTGTATCCGGATGGTTAAATGGTGATTTATAAATTTGGTTATGTTCAATATTGAATTATGTGTATTTTTGTCAATTTAGTAAATATTGAGATGTATGAGGAAGTGTGGATGTCCAATGGAGGGACTTGATGATGATTGAGAATTGGTGAAGATGATTTAGAAGTGTACATCTATTGTGATTTTTATGCGGGATATATTATTTTTGGGATCGTCTAATTATAGGGAAATGCTTGTCGAAATTTACGTAGAAAATAGAGAAATGATTAAGACTTACGTAGCTTATGGTGGGTCACCCCACCCAGGCTACGTGCCGATCGTGGCTTGCCGGTTCGGGTCGTGACACACACAGTCATGGAGCAATAGATCTCACAACAAACGAAAAAGAAATAGAAGGTAAAAGCATAAATGATGGAGGCTTGGAGGTAACCTTCTAATTTGAGAGACTAGCAGAAACATACACGGACTTTAATTAATCACCAGCCGTTCTCAATGCATGTTGCATAGTAAATTGCATTAGAGATACCAGCATGAAGTTCCCTTGGAAATCTTAATCATCACACCAAGAAGCATGCCATAACACAAAGATTGTCATGTTCGCCATTCAAAATCATCAAATATAAACATTAAACACGTTATGAGTTCAAATATACAAAAATAAATAAAAATAGATAAATAAATCCCATACTCAATCGACCACTTCAACTCCCCTCACATAACATTAAAAATCAAACACCTCATTCACTCAACATCATACCCTTTCTCCTGAATCTCCTGAATAACCTCGTTCCTCATCCTAAACCATAGCTTCTGTGCTTCTTGCTCAAACTTCTTATCCTGCAACTCTTTCTGATAATTATATGAATCTTTATCAGTCTCCACAGTCCCTTTCGGCCCAATTGTTGTGCCAATCATTCCTCCCTTTGCAACAAACTCTTCCATTGCTTCTTCATCGCCTGGATATGGGAATTGTCGTCTCTCGTACAGATGGGCAAGCTCCTTTTCCTCCTTTGGTCTCGGTTTCAGTGTCCACCAACCGAGTGGTGAGGTTTCATTATAAACCCACACAACGCCGATGATAGCGTATGTGCAGAGGAGCGACTTGCCTACTTGCTTCCAGAAGTAGTGGTCTTCTTTTCCTAATCCTACTTTCCTCAAGTACTTGTCGAAATCCACTGATTTGAGATATTCAATACCTGAAATTGGAAGGAAAAAAGCATTAAAGAAAAGGAAACATGTTTGAGCATTTCATCGAACAGTTGAAGCGCGAGTTGGCTAACATAAAAAACGAAAGCTGAATTCGCCAATTTTTTTTCCTGTTTTTAAAAGCCAAATTTCTTGGTTTGTGAATTTTACCTGTCTTGGCTTCTTGAAAACGTTTGCGAACCATTTTTCAGCGATGAATGGTGATGAGAGCAGATTCTGCAGCTGTTAGCAGAAAGCCAGAAGATCATGCGAGTTGGGTTTTCACGGTTTCAGTGCTGACTGGGGGCAAGGTATTGGCTGAAGAGAAAAAGTAAAACCCATAGTATAGGACCATATGACTTCTGCTTGATCAAACAGAAGCTCGGGCTCCGGCCCACGAGCTCATGGAGTGACCGCATTCAATTGTTGAACTGCTACTTATTCAGCCTCGTGCCTATTGACCTAAACCATAACCCGAATTTGGATATGAACTTGGGAGTACTGAATAATCTTCCACGCCTTTTAATTTTGGCGGTGACCAAAATTTGGATTTGATTTTATGACTAACTAATTTATGGAATCCTTTTTGCCCCTCGTTTAAAACTTGGTAAAAAAAGCACCAACATCCATTAGATGTTGGCGAATTAGCCCATATCAATCATTTGTCGTTTAGACACTAAATTGCACCCTTTAAAAATATACAGACTCAATTGAATTTTTATGAAAATATCCCTCCTCTGTTAATTGAAATTGTTCTCTTTCTGCTCCCAAATCACCTGGGTAGTGGTCAGATGCGTCAAACAGCTTATAGTTTAACAATAACGATCTTTTATAAGAGATTATGAATTTAAATCTTAATAGATTAATCTTAATGTGTGAATTAAAAAAAAAATGCTGAAAAAAAAAATAGTGGTCGGATGGTGAAGATCTTAGTATTGAATTTGAGGTTGGTGGAATTTAAAAGAAAAAAAAAGTTTAATTTAATTTCTAAGAAATGCAAATCAGTCTTTTTCTAGCAGCGTAATTTATGGCCGTAAGAGTTGCCACCGACTTTTTTTTTTTTTTTTTTGGGGGTTAGCAACAAACATGTGGACGAAAAAGGTGGTTTTGACCTAATTTATTAAGGGCTGAAATTACTTTAAACTTCAAGCTTATAGATCTTGGCTCCACGAAGAAAAGTCTTATAAATTTTTCTGAAGTGAATATTGACAAGTCTAAGGTTATATTTAGGAATACAAAGAAAGTATACATTGGCTTAGCTATAACTTGCATTGCATGTATTCACTTCACTTCTTTCTTGACAATATTTCATTTGCTGGTACAGTTATTGATAAAGCAAACATAAGAGACTGTTGTCTTGCAGTAGCTAGCTAGACTTTTGAGTTTTGACTCCACGTATATCATTACATACAAATGGCTAAAGAAAGAACATCCTTAAGTAGTGAAGGAACTTGTTTTACAGTTGTTTGACAATCATAATCGAGGTGAAGTAACGATCAACGAAGAGTTCCTACAGGCTTTTTATAAGTGTACCAATTCGAGATCAAGATAAAGGCACATAAATTCAGCACACTGAGCACCCCCAGTAGCCAGAAGAAGTAATCAATGTGACCGTAATTTAAGTTGTCCGGTATCCATCCAAGCTTTCCATTCTTAGTGGTAATGCTTGTGATGATGGTTACAAGAAGAGAGCTCAAGTAACTACCAAGTGCGACGGTGGTGAGTGACAGGGCAGAACACATGCTCCTCATTGCATCAGGTGCTTGCTCGTAGAAGAATTCCAATTGTCCGATGAAAGTGAAAACTTCAGCACAGCCTATCAGGAAATACTGCGGAACTTGCCAAAATATCGACATGGGCACGGAATCAAGTTCGTAGTAGTTGTGCCTTCTCACCATTTGGAGTCTTTTAAGTTCCAAGATTGCTGCAGATACCATGGCAAATATTGATATAAAGAGACCAATGCCCATCCGCTGCAGTTGAGTTAAGCCATTTTTTTGTCCAGTGTATTTTCTTGCAACTGGGACAATAATTCTGTCATACACAGGGACCCAAAAGATGACACTAAGGGTGTCAAAGATGGACAGAGATGCAGATGGGATCTCGAAAGTGGAGTTTCCAACAAATTTGTCCATTGTTTCACCTTGCAGCACAAATAAGTTCCCCATCTGGCTGTACACAGTAGAAAAGATGATACCAGTGGCCCATATGGGAAGCAATCGAATGATAGACTTTAGCTCCTCAACTTGGGTTACTGTGCAAAGTCTCCACGGGTCTACTGACCCCTTTATTTCATCCTTTTCTGTTTCCACTGCTGCCTTGTCAAGGAAACTGGAGAAGATTACAACAAAGTTAAGAAACTCATAAAATGGTTGATTCACCATAAAACTAAAAATAAAAAGTTAAGAAACTTAATGGAAGTTCGATTCTAGAAGCCTGAGTAAATTCTTGCCTGTATGTTGACAGTGCACTGTAATTTAATTAAAGTTGTTTGCCCTTGTTAGAATTTTGAATGGGAAAACCGAAATTGCATTACATTGAGACTGAACAAATTTTATGTTTTCATGGCATGTGGTGTTGGTTTTTAGTTTGTTTTCTGTACATCAGAACAGTTTATTGCCAGAATTTTGCTCTTAAGATCTGGAATTGCCTCAGGTCTGTATGCTTTCCTAGGAATAGAGAAAATATGGAACTTGATCATAGCTTCAAAGGAGTTGTTGAAGAATAGATCCTATCAATTCACTTTTATTATGCAGCTAAGTTAATTTCAAAACAAGATATTAAACTTCAGTTAATTAATTGCTGTATCCTGAACTGCATACAAGTTAGACTGCAACATAAATATCTGTTTTTTTTTAGATTCAGCTATGTTATGCACTTAATCTGTAAAGACACTAACCTAAACTCTGCAGTATGGTCGAGCTTGCGGCTTCCTGTGATGTTGGATTCAGCATCTGCAGTCTCATACAAAAGAGACTTGTCGGCAGGAACTTCAACTTTCTGTTTTCTGAAGGATGCCACCAGCACCTGACTCATGCGTGTAAGAGGGCTGCCTCCAGGCTTTTGATACCTGAACAACGGAGTACCTGAAAAGAAGCTCAAAACAGCAATTGCCATGGCTATTGCTGGAATGCCAAAACCCCATCCCCAACTCACATTATCTTGCACCCAAACCAGCACAGAACTGGCGATAAGAGCACCAACATTAATTGAGAGGTAGAACCAGTTGAAGAAAGAACTCTTGTGCTTTTTCTCAACCTCGTCAGCATCATCAAACTGATCTGCTCCATAGGATGAGACACAAGGCTTAATACCTCCTGTGCCTAGTGCTACCAGGTAAAGAGCTACGAAAGTTAATGCACTTTGACCATCTGTTGGATGGCAATGATTTTCTGAATAACATTTTGGCTTTAGGCTAGGGACAGATGCTGACATTGCCAAAAGCGTCATCCCCTGTGAAATTAAAAGCTTGTGGTAAAACAAACATGTCCCAGAATAGTTGATCCTTTCAAAGGACTACACGTTTGAAGATAATCAGAAAGAATGGATTAAGCTGGACAAAAGAAGTGGTCACTGAGGCATAAATCGAAGATAAATCATCTTCTTTCTTGTCAATTATTTTACTGTACACCTTTTTTATTGAAGAAAGAAAATTCTAGTATTATGATCTAGTAATAATCCACATAGAAATCAAATGCAATGGAAAGCTCTTTGAAGCTTCAAGATCTTCATAAGCAAATATGTTGAGATTGAACATTGATCAGCCAGTTGAAATTCAAAGCATGCACTGTAGAAATCATTAAGACTTTCAAGTAAGTCAACTTACTGCAACATATATGGTTGAGAAACAAGCAATCGTCCAATATCTTCCTAGATAAGCATCAGCAACGAATGCTCCGATCAATGGAGTGATATAGCATGTTCCCCCCCAGTTCAAGTTATTTCTAGCAGCTGTAGCACTTCGCTGATTTAGTATGTGCTTGAAATAAAGAACCAGATTGGAGCTCATCCCATAGTAAGCCAATCGTTCACAAAACTCATTTCCTGTTGATAAAGGCTAAAACTGATTAGCACGTCTCTTGTGATCAGATCGCCGTAGTTGTAATAGAAAATCTAGAGAAGGTACCTATAATAAAAGGGCAGGCCCTCCAGGTTCCAGTCTCGTTTCTGTTAGCAGGATTCCCCCGATAATCCACAGTTCCATCTTTTGTATAAACATCCTCCTCTGCCATGGTGCTTTAGGAATTTGTGTGCTTCGATTATTCTTTGGAATCTACTTGAGGTAGTACAGTCTTAAAAGTGCAGTAAACAAAGAAACATAGCCGCATTAAGTTTCCTGTAAAAAATGAAAATGAATTAAATGGCAGATTTAGCTGCAAAGGTTTGCTTCAGTTAAGGCCACTGTCGTTTTGGCCCACAAGCATGGTTTGATACACAAGAACAAGAATGATTTCAACTATTTAACTCTAGCTAAATCATGAGCTAATGTAAATCAATCTGGTTTTCTTTCACAAAAATATCCAAAGTCAGTAAACAACATTTATGCTTCCACACTCAACATAAATAAGATTGAAACAAACTGACACCTTCAATCACAACCTTAATTGACATGAAAAATTGAAAAGAGCATTCAAACCTCATGCTTGAAGAAATCATGTAATATGCCCAGGAAATTAGCCAAGCTCTTCAATAATGGAGAAGCAAACATATTCCCTCAAGCACCATGCATTAAATTGTATTAATGAATAGTCAGTCACAGAAGATGATGGCAACCACATAAACTGGTCCCAAATGCCAAATATCGTCTACTCTTTGACTGCTTGATCAGTCATCATGTGGAAATATATATATATATATATATAAACAAAACATGAAGACGAGGTTGTTTGTATCCTTTGACTTTTAATTCCTTAAGAGTGAACAAAGAGTCTTTAGAATGAGACGGGTAAATTCGGAAAACAAAGTTGGTGTTTGCCTAGAAGGTCAGCAAAAAAACTGGCCACGCCAACTGCATGCTTGTGGGCGCACACAGTGAGACTAAGTGATGGTGCGAGGAGGTCGGCCCATTCCTTCACTGATTTTTGCCAATTAGTAGCTGTTGAAAGTTCAAACTTCTCTCTCTAAGACTCTAACTAGAAAAATAACACGGGTCCTCTTTTATGTAGCAAGGTTTGGATCATGAGGTACTAAGATCAAACGTTACTGATGAAAGAAACTTCATCTGATAAAAACAATGGTTAGTTAACAAATAAGTACAAGAGGAAGGTGTTGTCTAGGAATTAATGGCATTCTTTTTTCAAGGGTAAGAGATCAAGGTAAGATTTGCAGGAGATGATAAAAAAAAAAAAAAAAAAAAAGCAAGCTACCTCCAAAGAATGGTAAACATTAAGGAGAGTGGCTAAATTTCTGATATGTAAAAGAAGAGTGACTAAATTGAGTCAGAAATTTAACTTAATTGGTTTGGTTGAGGTCTGCAAAAAGGTAAGGTTGCAACTTAATTAGGATAGGAAGCTGCAACATTAAAGCCTAATTTTGCCAAACACATATGCATAAACATCTACTCGTGAAGAAATATATAGTATGGAGGGCCCAAGAAGATGCTTTGTTCTTAGTTCTTACCTTAATGAATCTCGCTCATCTTTGCTTTCCTATTATAAAAAGCAAAGTGAAGGTGCAAAGCAAACGCTACCCTATTTATCAGTGCAAATCCAGCTCCTCGATCAGAGCTAAATATGCAGACTCTTTAACGAATCTACCGTATGCACGTCCTTCCTTGACGGAGAGAATGGAGAACGTCAGATCGAACGACCCTGAATGGCGATGGGTTCAAGGAATCTCCTTGCAAGTCCACTCCTAGCTGTTGCTATATATATATGTATATAGCGTCAGGTCCCTGCTCAAAATGAGCTGCTTCTGCTACATATTCTGTAATTAATTAAAATTAAAACAAGTATTCATAGTCAATGATATTGATTAAAATATAGTAATAATATACGTGCCTGCATGGATAACTATGCTACCCAGTTAATCTATTACAACTCCGGCCGTTACGTTGAGTAAATGTATTAGTGCGCAATTTTTCCCCAGGAAGAAAGGTACCTATTATTTTATTTTTGCGCTAATCATTATACCGCTACGATATTTTGACTATTAAATACTGAGATAAATACGTTAAAAGTATATCATTTTTTTTTCAATTTAATATATGAATTTTAATTTTTTTAGTATATTTATTTTTTAAAAAAACTATCAATCAAGTATTTTTATCAATTTTTTTGTTAAGAAATATATCAAATATCAGTTTTATCTTCTTTTTTTTTTCTCTTCAATCAAGTACATAAATTTTAATTTATTTTTTAAAACCATCGTTCAAGCACTTTCGTGGTTGATAAAGTAATAAAGTATCTATTACTTATAGAATATCAAATTATAAATAGATCATCTTTATGTTGGAGAGAACTTTTCTCTTAAATTATTATACCATTTTAAAATTTAACATGAATTATAAAAATATTTTTTTAGCTATAAAATCATGAACTAAACTTTATTAGGTTTAGGCATGAAAATTATATATATATAAAAAAACATAAACTTGAAATTTCTTATAAAAAAATTCATTGCTTGTGAGCATCGGAGGAAAAGTTCTCTCCAACAAAAAAGGAAAAAATTATAATTTGATATTTTAGAAATAAAAAAAATATTATTAATCAATAAAAAATAATAAACATACTTGATTAATAATTTTAAAAAAATTAACGCATTCAAATAGAAAAAATTAATCCACGTACTCGATAGAGAAAAAGATAATAAAATTATAATTTGATAGTCTAGAGTTAAAGCATATGTCTTCATTTAACAAAAAAATTAATAAAAAATATTTAATTGATAGTTTTGAAAAAAAAAATTGATACATTCAAATAAAAAAATTAAAATTTATCTATTGGATTGATAAAAAATTAAAAATTGATTTACTACAAGTATCTCATATATATATATATATTACGGTACAAATGTACTATATTGAAGATTCTAAATCTTGTAAAGGAGTCGCTCTCGCAATAACAAACAAGGCATGATGGCAGCACCGAAAAAAAGGAGCATGATGGGACAGAATACGAGTAAAATAAATTTTATGATTGGGTTTTTAAATACTAATAGCAGAGTAGAGAATTAAAAATAGAGAGAGAAAGCAGTGTAATACACATTAGGTATCTTTCTCTTTGTTGAATAGAGAGAATTTGGGTGAAATTCATCCTCGGTTTGATAATGCATATTCACTCATTTGTTTGGTACACTGCATTATACCTTTTATAACAGACTCAACAGACTTTAGTTAGCTACATTCCTTTATACTTCATGTACATTCCATATGCTATATCTATATATGTATAGCTATGAAAATTATAAATATACCCTTCTTAATAAAACATATATGTTGTCATGGATGTTTTGTACGAATAAATTGATTGACATATAGATAACATAGTGATAACAACATTGTAAGATTTTTATGTAATTATTTTTAAAACTACCCTTGTCGACTTATCAGGTAACATTATTGAGAAAATAAAAAAAATTATAAATAAGGATTAAAGGATCGTAGAAAAAAGTTAAAAATAATGAAAATAAATGATAGAAAAATTAATAATGTTTAATGCATTCCAATATATGAATGCTTAAATTACCATTACTTTAAAATTATATATATATATATAAAATATTTATTAGTACTTAACTTTATTAAATATTAAATATTATTATTATTATTTATCTTATGTCTTATTCGGATAAAAGGAGAAAACAAGCCCAATCATCTGCTCCACACCCGATATAACCATTAGATGTATATATATACACACACACACACGTGTGTGTGTGCAAAAGAATGTACTATCCCATTGTCGGGAATAGTACCCTCAACTTGTTACTAAAAAGAATTTAGTCGATTGTTTCAGATCATGCGGGGAGATATAAGTTAAACTGTCGGTCTACGTACCAAATTATTAAAAAAAAAAATCAGAATAATTTGTAGGCGTTTAATAATTGAATGATGATTTCCAGAAAAAAGTCTATACGAAAATAACAAACCTAATTTTATTTTATAAATAAATGACCAAAATACAAAAAAATAATAATAATAATTGTAAGAACCAAAAACTTTTTTAAAAATTATAGAAATTAAAATGAATATTTTTGATAAATTATTTTTAATCGATATTAAATAGGTACTAAATGAGTCGATAAACCAACGTAGATTGGATATGAACTAAATAAAAATTTATATAATAATTTTTTAATAAATAATAAATATAATATTTTTTATGAATAAAATAAAAAAATTAAATTTAAAGATCGGATATATATTCATTGTTATCCCTAATTACAAAGTAAGGTCCCACTTTTATTGCCTACGTGAAGGATATTCAATCATAAATTGGTAATGTACTTTCTAAATTTAAAATAATAATAATAATAATGCCAACGTCAAATGACTTTATAATTAATTAGAATTAGCTGGGAAAATTGCAAGCCTATCGAATTGCTAACTGAATATTCCTTGACAAGTACGTTATAATTAATTTTTGATGTAAATATATGACATGGTATTCCATAAGCATATACGGTTAGGCGTCAGATTCAAGTCTTCCTAAACCAATCCTCCAGTGTGAAAAACTTTTTGGAGTGACATAAACAGCATAGTGTGGATTGTACAATTTGTTCATTATTTAAATGAAGGCAAAAAATGTTAGAAAAATATGATCTAGATAGATAATAAGTTATGTGTGATAAATAGATATTTTCAAGTAAAATGTTTATCCTGCATATATATATATATATATAGAGAGAGAGAGAGAGATGCTTTATAAGCAGACATCTTGTAAAGATTTTTTTTCAAATGGAAGAATTTGAAAGGAAATCAAATTGGAGAAGAGAAGCTAGTAGGTGAAATTATATATATAAAAAAAACTAACACTCAGCACCTTGCATGTATGCGCTGTATGATTAATTAATTAATTAATTTTATTAGTTTTGGATTTATTTCTTCTTTTTAATTAAATTAAATTCATGATTAATTAATTAATTACATTTTTCTGTGACAATTAATTAATTTCAGGAAAAACAAAATATGACATTATAACTATTAAAAAGTAGCATTAGTCATTGAATCAAGTCTTAAAAAGTAGCAATTAAGCATTGAATCAACCCAATTTTTCAACGAGTAATCTATAAA